TCTGTTAACGTATCAATTATGTTCTTTATTTTAACAAAATGATCTGCATAAAAATTAGCTGCTTCTAACCATGTTCCCCATCGCGTTAAAATAGGTTGTGGTGGAAGAGGAATGTTAGGTAGCATTTCTTTATAAAGTTGAATTCTTATAGGAGATTTAAGAAATACTTTTTTGATACTGGATATCATGGTATTTACAAGAGGAAACTTTTTTCGTATTTCCTCTCCAACTCTGTTTAATCCATGCGCTACACAAGTAACATGTATTAAATCTGGGAAAAATATTTTTAAATTTTGTCCTGCTTTCACCATATAAGGAGCAGCATCCGATAAAATAAGCAGTAATTTATTAGAAGAAATAGTTGTCGGAAGAAAAAAAGTTGCTAATGTTTCTTGTATAAAACGCGAAATTGTTAAAGCATTTGTTTTCTCAAGTTGCTGGCATGAAATAAGATGAGATTTTGGTAAGGTATCTTCTTTAAGAACACCAATCAATAAATGAGCAATATACTTTCCTGAGGAATCAGTGGTTTAATTAGGAACAAAACTATTAGCCGTTTACCTGCTGTTAAGATACAATAAATTGTAGATAGATTTGGGGATTAGATCATAAAATGCAAATGAGCGAACCCTTAGCGATTATCCAATAACTGAATGCCTCAGTGACCGAGACTTTCTAAGAATGTTGAGGGCTACTTAAATTGATCTTCTTTGAAATTGTAAATGTTTTGTACCTGTAGAGATTACGTACTTAGATCATTTCTTGATTAAAATGACTACAAAATTTTATACAAGAATTGAAATAAATTGGTATGTTTAAAAATTTTCAAATACAGTATAAAAATCTGAACTTTTATGCACTTTATTCAAACTTTTATACAAATATGCCAAAATATGAAATATTTGCATAAAATATGCACAATATGCAAAATATGCAATATGCATATTTGCCGAAGTCTAATTATTAGTAATTTATTTGATTGTACTTTGAATATTTGTTGAAGAATTAATTATTTATGAAATATTTTAAACAATTAAGATTAGATAGAATATACTGAATAGATTTATAGATAATTTGTTGGTTCTATTTCTTTAAAAACCATTTTGTCATATTTTGAATATTTGTTAAGAAAATACTTAACGTTATTGTTTAATTTTAATTTAAATGGCAAGAGGAAGGTTGTAGTATATTGCGTAAAGAATACAGATTTGGTTTGAGCTTGTTATTTATGTAAAATAATTTGCAATTCTAAAAGATTTGAATATATTTGTTACAACTCGTCAACTCTTAAACTGTTTTTTAAAATTTGTTTATGTACCATATCTAATGAAAGAAGTGCGGTTACTTGTATAAATGTTTAAATAAATTTTGCTTTGTATATTCAGTACCTTTCTTGTCAAAAAGACATTAAACAGAAATAGAAATTTCACAACAATTGTAAAAAGTAAAAGAAAATGCAAATTAAAGAAAAATACATATCTAGAAAATATATGGAATATAATAGAAATATGCTTTATTGTCACTGAAAATTCTACAATTTTATGAACAAAACTTACAAAAAGTCAAAAAAATAACAATAACAATTAAAATTTACTGTGTGTGTGTGTGTGTGTGTGTGTGTGTGTGTTTTATTGGCACTGGTTTTGACAACCAACTGGCCAGTCAATTTGTTTTGAGTTCTCTCTTTACACAAGATATTGTTAGTATTTACATTTAAAACTATTGTATTGTAAACATAGTTTACTATGTTTTTGCTGTTTTCTTTTTTGTATCTTTTTTTTTATTTTTTATTTTTTTTTTTGTTTTTTTTTTAATTTTTTTTATTTTTTTATTTTTCTTTATTATTTTATATATTTTTTATTACTACGCTAAGACATAAACCCGATTCGACACCTCAGAGGTTTAGATCTTCTTAGCAGCTTTTTTTTTTATTTATAGTAATTTTCTTAGTAATTTTTTTTATTTTTTTATTTTTCTTTATTATTTTATATATTTTTTATTACTACGCTAAGACATAAACCCGATTCGACACCTCAGAGGTTTAGATCTTCTTAGTAGCTTTTTTTTTATTTTATTTTTTTTAATTACTATTTAACTGGGAATAAGCCACAATTAAAGATAAAAATACGTTTATTGACGTTTCAATTTCCACTTTGGAAATCGTTCTCAAAATACAAACAGTAAATTAAACAAATTTTGTTTTTTGTTACATAGTGAAAAATTCTTCTAATAATTTAATTTTATCTGACTCATTTATATTGACAATTCAGACATACATTATGCATTTTAAAGTAGACGACTAGAATATCTGTCAGAAAAAAAATCATAGCATGTAATTCGTCTTTAAAAAGACAAACACGTGACATGATGACAGTACAATTATTCTCCTGTTAGTGATTCCATAGTAAATTATGAGGGAAAAACCAGGAAAAAAACCTCATAATACTATCCCGACATTGTAAGTATTTGTTGGTGAATTTAGTTTACCTTCAACAAACATCAAAATTCTGATTTTATATGTTACGTTATTTAAAAATTCCTCGGCAGAATGTAGTAGGATCTGGTTACCAATATTGAAAGAGGAAGTTATTAATAATAAAATACATTTGAACTAGAAAAAATATATAGAATCAAATAAAAAAGGTATGTTCTGTTTCTATGCGTCTTCTTAGAAGGTTTACTACTTGCCTATCAGTGGTTGATACGGTTAAAAAAAAACCAGCTACTTCTCAAAACCACTACGTAATTATTTAGTTAATTTATTGCATAAGACGGTAAAAGCGAGTTTATACGAGAAATGAACGAAAAATAATAATTATTTTTGTACTTGTTGAATTGTTTATAATATTGACCATGAAACTTTTAATGATATCATTAGGAATTTTTATAAAATTCCCTTAATTAAAATTACTTTTTTACAACTAATTTTGTATTAGACATTATACCAGATATGTATGATTGTTTCTGAGTATATATTAACAAAAGGAGGTCGTACAAACAAATGGAGGTCGTACTGAGTGTTAAAATGAGGAAACTATAATACCTGGGACATATTACACGTGGGAATAAATATCAACTGTTACAACTAATTATGCAAGGAAAGATTGAAGGTAGGCGCAGCATAGGTAGGAGAAGAATGTCATCGTTGAGAAACCTCAGGGAGTGGTTTGCTTGCACTTCCATACAATTGTTCCGAGCGGCAGCCTCCAGGGTCAAAATTGCCATGATGATAGCCAACTTTCGTAGCGGAGATGGCACGTGAAGAAGAAGAATATATTAGCATTTACTCGTTTGTTTTTTTCGTTAATATACATGATATTTTAATGTACTAAAATAATATGTTTTATAAAATAAATTCACATTTTTCTACAGCCTGTTCAGATGGTACGAATTCGAATTTTTGTTCGAATCGACAAAAATATCGAATTGCTCATTGACACATAGTTTTAAATGGGTGCGGTCATACAATTCTATCGTATGTCACACTCGGAAATTTTACCGGATACATCCAAATTTACATTAAATTTTTTCACTGCAAACCATATGCCATGACACGATAAAAACTTTAAATCAAATGTTAGTAGCACTTGTATCTAGGTGAAGTCCTTCACACATTTTTTTTATTTTTAATAACACCTGTGCGGTATTTGTATACTGCTATCTGGTCACAAATGACTAAGTATCAGTTATGTTTTGACCTAACATAATAACAGCAAATAAATCTAAGGGCTTACCCTATGGCTTACTCTTATTTTATCTATTAACTAATGCACTACAACTAACATGCAATAACTTCACAGCCCTATACTCTGCTTTTTACACTAAACTGTTACACATTTACACTAGCTCAAATGGTTTTGTCCTTATGAGTCTTCTCTTTAGTTCAGTGTTGTCAAGAAGCTAGATTGCCTCGACATTCACATGACTATGCAGCCTCTGCTCGTGACTTGCTGCTGTTCTCTTGATTATTTCGATCACAGATTCCATACCCAGGTCCTGGTGGAGGTTGCTGTTACGGATATACCAAGGTGTATCAACAATGTTTCTCAGTACTTCGTTTTGAAATCTCTGGATAATATGTAGATTCCTAGGTTTGGTACAGCCCCAGAGTTGGCACCCATATACCCATACTGGCCTCAGTACTTGCTTGTAGATGGATAATTTATTCTAACTGGGAAATTTTCTATTTTTTTATTTGTAAAGTTAATGTGTGCAGATTTAGTCTCATTTAATTTTATTCGCCATTTTCTGGTTCAGTTATGTATTTTATTTACTGATAGTTGCAATTTATCAGTCGCTTCTTCACTAGTGTCTCCTATTGCTAGGATGGCTGTATCATCCGCGAAGGTGGCAATAGTATTTTGTTCTAGCTCTGGAATGTCACACGTATACAATAGGTACAGGACCGGACCTAAGACACTCCCTTGTGGCACGCCAGCTTGGATCTCCCTTAAGTCGGTGTACACTTCTTCTTGTTTTACTCTGAAATATCTATTCGCAATGTATGATTTCAAGATTTTTGAATACTGTTTAGGCATGAACGTTCTTAGTTTATAGTTTAAACTGTCATGCCAGACTTTATCAAACGCCTGTGCTACATCCAAGAAGATTGTAGAGCAGACTTTATTTTCTTCTAATGTTTTTTCTCTTATATTCGTTATCCTGTGAACTTGATCTATAGTGGAAGGTTGATTTCTGAAACCAAATTGAAAATTTCTTTTTTTTTCTAGGAGAGAGAAGAGAGAAGTATCTCTCCTGATACCGCCAAAGAATGTAGAGCGTAGAAATATTTTAACTTATTTAAAACTGTTTGTCCTTATTTTAGTGTAGTGTTTGTACAATTTTATATTATCATTCATATTCATCACATTCTACGCTTGCTGGATAGCCCATATTTGACAAAATGACCTAGAAGATGCTATATTAAGCGAAAGTACTTGGGCAAGATTTAATTAAACTTGTGCTGGATATAATGTGATTGTTTCTCTTTTTTTTTGCAGTACATGATAGAGGCGGAATGGCCCGGACAAATAGGAGTATGCGAACCAAGAAGAGTGGCGGCTATTTCTTTAGCTAATAGGGTAGCAGATGAGACGGGCACTCTTGTGCAACAAGATACAGTTGGATACGCAGTTCGATTCGATGCTTGTTATAACAAACCAAAAATTAAGGTAGGTCCTATTTTATAGTAGAAAGTACAGTCAACTCAGTGGTGGCTTTTGGGGGTAATCAGGATAGGCCGGGCCTACCCAATAATTTTAAGAGCTTTAACATTGAAAAACATATATTCAAAAATTATGTTAATGCATGTAAATAGCTTTTAAATGTACTAAATCATTCAATACATTAGCGTCAGTTAAAACAACTAGGTTATTATATTACCACAGAAAGCATCAAATCGTATTCAGGCATTTTAAATATCATTAATAGGACCGTTTGGAACTGGCCGACCCAGCTCACATAAGATCCCCGTACAAAAAGCGTTTGAAGTTAGCAGCTTGCTGGAAAACGATTTATATTGTCGTGTTTATGCTTGCGTTTAGGCACCCGACGATCGGGCTACGCCGACCATCGTTGTCACTTGTAACGTAATTATTGAATTGTAATATAAATTTTCTTTTAAATTATGGTAAAAAAATATGTAACATAATCTATAATTGAAACATATTTTTAAACAAACAACACAATTGCAAACAAGTGCACGGTTGCCCAAATAAGTTTAAAAAAATTCGTAAAATTCGAAAAAAACAATCACATTTGCATGATTTCTATTCTATATCGCCTGATTGTATGCAACTTATGTATGGCAACACTGTCACCGAGCATTAGTTCAATTGTTACTGTTATCTGTTATTACTAGTTGTTTGACCGATCGAGGTTGATTTTTTAAAATTTTTCTTGGAATAGTGGGATCGTTTTATAACTGATACAAAAAAATGAGTTTTTCTGACGATTTACCAGGTTGCAGTAATAGTAATGTTGATCATGAGTATTTGGACATTGTTGTTTCACTATTGGAATCGAAATTATCTAGAAGAACTGAAGTTGATAGAAAAAAAATTACTATGAATGAATAAAAGGCCTACTCCAACATTGCGTATTGACCAAAAAGATCTGAAAAAGGTGCGTACTTTTAATTCTTCTTGGTATGATGTCTATAAATGGTTGTCTGGAAGTATTACGAAAAACAGACTATATTGTTGGCTGTGTTTGTTATTTTCTAATAAGAAATGTGTATGGAATTGTGAAGGATACTTTTATTTAAAAATATGTCTGCCTCCTTAAAAACATTCCAGTTGCAAGGAACATTTAAGTAATTTCCTGTCCTTTAAGGATGTACAGAAGAGGGCGTTTTCTGTTCGCGATTTGCTAGATGAAAAATCAAAAATTGCAAAAATTACATACGACGCAGAAGTTAAAATGAACAGAGAAATCATTAAAAAATTAGTTTCTTTAAATTGTACTTTAGCGAAACAGGATCTGACTTTCCGTGGCCACGACGAATCCGATGATTCCCTAAATCCTGGAAATTTTAAAACGATACAAAACTAACTAATTGATCTAGTGAAAGACAAGATTCATATTTTTATCGAGAACGCCATTTAACTCCACATTTTTTGCATACATTCTTGATGAAACAACCGATATTACTGAAAGGGCACAATGTTCAATAGTATGCAGATTAGTGTACACAAAAGGCGTTGTTCAAGAATATTTCTTAGGTTTTTTTGATCTAATGGAAGACCGAAGTGCTCCAGCGTTACGTGACTTACTGTTTAGTGTAATTGGTAAATTTGACTGTAAAGCTAAATTAATTGCTCGAACCTACGATGGTGCTAGTGTTATGTCGGGACAACTTAATGGACTTAAAAAATGAGTGAGAGATTCTGCCCCATTAGCAATATTTACCCATTGTTTCGCTCACCGCCTCAACTTAGTTTTACAGCAAAGTTACTCCAACATTACAACAGCCAAAATATTTTTCTCAACGCTTCAAGGTATTCCAGCTTATTTTCACCAATCGTCCAAACGGTCCTATTTTTTATATAAAATACTTGGAAAACTAATTACCACAAATAGTGAAGTAAGATGGAATTCAAATGCAAATGTAGTATATGCTGTATCAAAAGAAAAAAAAAATTGTTACAAGTCTTCCAGGACATAACGAATTGCCCAGAATCAAATGCAAAATCAATTAGGCAGACAGATGGATTTAAACGTAAGTTGGAGGATTTGGAATTTGCATTTTTATTAAATGTTTTTAGTGATATATTTCAACAAACTGAGCACTTATACAACATATTGCAGAAGAAAAATAATGATGTTCAATTGTGTGCTAATTTAGTGTCAAGAAGTGTTGCAATGTTAAAGAGCTGGAGAAATGACCTTACATTTTCTAACCATTTCAACATTGCTGTTAGCGAAACCAATTCTAAACCCATATTAAGTCGTAGTGAACTTGATATTTTACCTGGTAGTTCATCTAATAACAGAGATCAAAGTTTTTTGGAGAAAGCTAAAACTAAATTTAGAAGGATCTTTTTTGAAATTTTGCACAATATTATCACTCAATTAGAGCAACGTTTATCGGATTACAAAAAGTTTCAATAACTGGAATTGGGCGATAAAAAATTTTAAAAATGTAGTTTCATCTAAAGCTTTATTTTACAATTTTTAATTTTTAGTCTGTCACTTGTTTCTGTTTCTTTGACTAGAAAACGTGTTTATTTTTCTACTCTCGTCTCGTTCTGGTCCTCTAGGTATTATAGAAGTTCATTCACGTGACACAAGTCCACTTCGTAAGTTACTTGACGACCAGGTACAAGCTTTTCTTCTTCTCCATCACTTTCCTCGTTTTTTCCTCGGCATTCTTTTTGGATGATTTTATACGTTATATGCTCAAATCCCTAGTCAGTAGCGTCGCAGTGTAACCACTCTTGCAGGTTTGCTGCGTCCACATTCTCTCCCCAAGGAACTGAGTTCGTTAAACTTGTAAGGACTGGCAGTTCATTTTCATCTTCTCGAACTGCTAGTTCGATAAAATTTTCCTAGGTTAATAACAGTTTTTTTCAGTTGTTTTTATGACTTCACAATTGTTGAAGACTTTACAGATTCCCAACAGATGCGATTTCGTAAATAGAGTCGAGAATAGTGAATGACTTGACCAAAAACTCATTTAGGTCATATCCTTCTTTAATTTTTGAGCGAAGTAACTTTGCTCTATGGTTTTTCTTCATAAACGCAATGGTCCATAGGTTGAACTAACGCAGTCGTGTCTGGAGGCAAAAATTTGGCAAATATTTTTCCGGCAGCAGACTTAAACATATGCATTTCAGGATGTGAGGGGCTTTGTCAATCAACAACACAGCTTTTTATTGAAAATTGTTTGATTTTAAATATTTTTTAACTTCTGGTACAAATTTGACTTCGAACCACTATTGGAATTTTTTTTATCCATTCACACTTTCCCTTGGTTGAAGTATTCAACAGGTAGTGTTTCTGCTTTTGTGTCCATAAAAGATCTAGGTTTTTGCCTTGCTAATCACCGTCAACTTCAGTTTGTGACTTATATAGCGTTACTGCTCTACATTCACTTGCAAAAGCTAGCGTCCGAGTTGGAAGGCATGCCCACACGAGGCCTGATTCGTCTGCCTTATAAATTTTTTCGTAGCTCAGATCATTTGAAGAAAGAAACTCTTCGAACTCACTTTTAAATTCCTCAGCTCCTTGTTGGTCATAGCTGAGCTTCTTTCCATGAAATCCTATCTTCTGTATCCCATGGCGTATCTTAAAGCGAGTCAACCAACCAGATGATGCATCAAAATTCCCTTCTATTCCCAACACGACAAAAACTGTTTTGCTTTTACAGCAATTATTGGACCTGATATGGGTGTACCCATGTTACGAACTTGGGTATCCATTCTACCAACACCGTCCCTAATTCTACGTAAAATAAGGTTTCTCTTTTCTTCATGACAGAAGAGCATTGATGCAAATGAAACAAGTTTAACATTTTGTTTTAAAATGTCTCGCCCTGTCGACTTGCCAATCCCATACTGAAAGCGCATAAGTTTACGGGAAGCATGGTTTTCAATGTTACTTATGAGCTCTAACTTTTGATTTATCATCAACACAACTTTTTTCTTTTCTCAGACAAGGTAACAAAACAAAAAAAAAACAACGATCAATTGAACGAACGGCGAACTAATAAAAGCAAGTTAACAGCCCCATTTCACCACTAGCCGGCATTCTTAGTTAAGATCCTTGTTTCACCACACAGCAGCCAAACAACTCTAACGTCTATTATAACAAAGAAACGATTTTAATGGTGACAAACACCATTCTCTCTCCTGTTACTGACAAAGAATGTAGAGCGTAGAATCATTTTAATTAATTTTAAACTGTTTGTCCTTGTTTTAGTGTAATGTTTTATACAATTTTATGTTAACATTCATGTTTATCACATTCTACGCTTGCTGGATAGCCCATATTTAACGAAATGCCTCTGAAGATGCTATATTAAGCGAAAGTACTTGGGCAAGATTTGATTAACACGTCGCATGCTTAAAGCCTAACGATATGCTACTGCTAGGTGCTGAGAGTATTTTTTTTGTAAATCGTTATAACTGCAATTGGTTTCTTGTTGGCAGAATACATTTATAAAGTTTTTGCTAAATTTTGTCTTTTTTAAAGCGTGACGCTCATAGGCGTCGCCAGCACTAGATCATTAATGTTTCATCCATATGCTAAGTGACTCACATGTGCGTCTTTGATTTTAAATTGCAGAAAGTCATTATTGTCAAAAGAAACATTTACTGGAAATTTTAATAGAAAACATATTACAATAATAATATTAATAATTACAAATTATTATCATTATGATACTGTACAAAACAATTTCCAACTCAAAGGCCAGGTTTTTCAGGACAGAAGCTGCACTCAAATATCGTGTCTTTCCTTAAATTATTCTTTGAAAATGCCTTACATCTTTTTCTCTTTATCCGACCTTTAGTATCAACATTTAAAATTTTTGAAATGTTGTGCTTGTCTGTTGTTTGTACACTGGAGTAACCAATACTGTTTCAGAATTTTTTAAAAGATGTCTGATAATTTCTAAACGATATTCATATAAATTCATTTTTCTACCAGTGTACGGAGTATAACTTTTGTA